AGAACAACGATAAACTATTACGGAGACCGATCGCCCTCACAAAACACCAACATAAATGCCGATTCAAAATTAGAAGCGGAAAAAAATATATACGAAAAGTCAACAGAAAAGATAAAGAACTAACAGAAAGGAAAAAAAATGTCGTCACCCTAGACCCCAAAAAATAAATAAATAAAATAAAATAAAAATAAATGAAGATGGAAAAAATAAATAAATAACCAATAAAATTAAATAAACAAATAAATAAGTTAATTAAAGGACCATCCAGACACTGAACCCCTGGAAGCCTAGAACTTTCTGGATCAATGACCTCGCTTGTCACTGATGAGAGGCTACGGAGGGGGGGGGGGGGGACTGGAAGTGGAAGGAAGGGGGGAAAGGAAGGGGAATTGGAAGAGGGAAGGAAGGATTGGAGGTGGAAGGAAGGGGGGAAAGGAAGGGGAATTGGAAGAGGGAAGGAAGGATTGGAGGTGGAAGGAAGGGGGGAAAGGAAGGGGAATTGGAAGAGGGAAGGAAGGATTGGAAGAGGAAGGAAAGGGGGGAAGGGAGAAGGTAAAGGCGAGGGAAAGTGGAAGGCGGATGAAGAAGGTGGAAGGGCGAAGGGGGGAGAAAGAAGAGGTGCAGAGAATGGAGAAAGGAGGGTGAGGAGGAAAGAAGGATGATGGAAGGGAAAGATGGAATGAGAAATGAGGATGAGGAAAGAAAGAAAGAAAATGGAAGGGAAAGATGGAATAAGAAATGAGGAAAAGGAAGTGGTGAGAAGGGGAAGACGGCAGAATGGAAGGGAAAAACAGAAACAGATAGAAGGAGAAAGAGAAGATGAAAGACACATATATAAATAGCTAGACAGCTATAAAGACAGACATACAAACCGATAGACAGGTAGATAGATAAACAGATAAATAAATGAATAGACAGACTGACAGAGAGAGACAAAGTGAAGTGGCGAAGTCATGGACACGGCTTCGCACGACAATAGAGCGAGTTCCGAGTGATTTCGCCGTCTGCAAGGAAGGGGGGAGGGGCAGTTGTATGTGTTCACGCCCAACAAAATAATTTGGGTGAGAGAGAGAGAGAGAGAGAGAGAGAGAGAGAGAGAGAGAGAGAGAGAGAGAGAGAGAGAGAGAGAGAGAGAGAGAGAGAGAGAGAGTGAGTGGTTTAATATGATGGTTTTTGATTCCAATTTGATTCCATTTGTTACAATGGATATTCTTGGTGTGATATAGTGTTTTATTTTGCTTCTACGTTATCCCCTGTGTGCAAGGAATTGCCGGGGTTACCATCCACTGTCGGCGAGGGATTTGAACGCAGGTCAGCAAGATTGCAAGACGAGATCGCTACTGCTGCACCACACAGCATACAAGAAAGAGAGAGAGAGAGAGAGAGAGAGAGAGAGAGAGAGAGGGAGAGAGAGGGAGAGAGAGGGAGAGAGGGAGAGATGGAGAGATGGAGAGAGGGAGAGAGGGAGAGAGAGAGAGAGAGAGAGAGAGAGAGAGAGAGAGAAAGAGAGAGAGAGAGAGAGAGAGAGAGAGAGAGATAAAAGAGGGGGAAAGAGAGGGAGAGAGAGGGAGAGAGAGGGAGGGAGAGAGAGAGAGAGAGAGAGAGAGAGAGAGAGAGAGAGAGAGAGAGAGAGAGAGAGAGAGAGAGAGAGAGAGAGAGAGAGAGAGAGAGAGAGAGAGATAAGGAGACAGTGAAAGCAAATAAGATAGGGCGACGAGAGAAGGACACCCTGATTCAGCATTTACAGAAAAGCAAAAGCAATGACGCCAAAAATTCCCTGAAGAGACTAATGGCGCCCTCATGATAATGATGATGATGACGGTGGCGTCGATGGTTGTGGTGATGGTAGTAGTAGTGATGGTTGTGGTGATACAATGAGAAGGAGTAGAAGAAGAAGAAGAAGAAGAAGAAGAAGAAGATGATGGTGATGGCGATGTTGAGGTTGATGTTGATGCTGATGATGACGATACTGATGAGTGGAATGTGACACTGATGCTGAAAATAATGATAATTATTTATGTGTTGGTGAATGACGATCTGAAAATAATAGCACTAAGATCCTAACGCCTTGTTGATAATGATGACGATGGCAGATTCCGGAGAAAATCCGCATTGTCTATTTTTGTTTTACCTTTCCGAGAAAAAGTTTTTAGCGCCAATTTGGAGCAGCATCAGTTTGGCTTAAATCTGGGAGAGGGAGAGGGAGAGGGAAGGAAGGTGGAGGGAGAGGGAGAGGGAGGGAGGGTGGAGGGAGAGGGAGAGGGAGGGAGGGTGGAGGGAGAGGGAGAGGGAGGGAGGGTGGAGGGAGAGGGAGGGGGGAGGGAGAGGGAGGGGGGAGGGAGAGGGAGGGGGGAGGGAGAGAGAGGGTGGAGGGAGAGGGAGAGGGAGGGAGGGTGGAGGGAGAGGGAGTGTGGAGGGAGAGGGAGGGTGGAGGGAGAGGGAGAGGGGGAGAAGGAGGGAGAGGGAGGGTAGAGGGGAGGAAGTTGAAGAGCAGGAAGAAAAGGTGTTTGAGATAAGGAGGAAGAGGGAGAGGGAGAGGGAGAGGAAGAGGAGGAGAAGGAGGAGAAAAAGAGAGAAGGAGAAGGAGGAGAAAAAGAGAGGGGGAGAAGGAGGAGAAAAAGAGAGGGGGAGGAGAAGGAGGAGAGAAGTGAGGAGGAGGAGGGAGGAGGAGGAAAACAAGAATGAGGAAAGAGGAAGAGATAGTGGAGAAGAAGGAGGAGGAGGAGAACGAGGAAAAGGAGGAAAAGAAGAAGGTGACGGAAGAGGAAGAGGAGGGAAGATGAAGAACAAGAAGAAAAGTTGAGGGAGAAGAGGAAGAGGAAGAGCAGGAGGAGGAAGAGGAGGAGGAGGAGGAGGAGGAGGAGATTAAACACTAAAAAAATCCTATCAGCCTCTCTCAGCCAATTAGAGGCCAAGACAGTCAAGCCGGGGATAACAGGCTCCGAGGGCAGTTTGCGGACGAGAGCGACGCTTAACCATCGTCTCCGGACTGCTCGGCCTCGAGGCCCGGGTTCCATCTCTCATTTCATCTTCTCTTCACTTCTTCTCCTTCTATATCTATATTTACGTGTGCGCGAATAATAATAATAATAATAATAATAATAATAATAATAATAATAATAATAATAATAACAATAATAATAATAATAAGAAGAAAGAGACTAAGACTAAGAAGAAAAAAGACGAAGAAGGCAGCGAAGGAGAATACCCGGCCCTACGCGAGGCAGCGGCGCCAACGAAGAGCTCGTTCCACCTTCGTGCGCCGCCCGAGGTATTCCTCCGCGGGGGTTAAGGGTGTGCTCCGTCCCCCTTCTTTCTAGGGAGGTGTGGGGTAAAGGAAGGGGGGGTAGGTGGGGATGGGGTTGGGTTGGGTTCGACTAGTTCGTTCTACTTTCTGTCCTTTTTTTCCTTTGTCTCTTATTTCTTTCTTTCTATTCTCTTTTTTTTTTCTTGTTTGTCTCTTCATTTTTCATCTTTCCGTTTCTGTCGTTTTATATGTTTCGCTCTCATTCTCGTTGTCTTTCTCTTCTCCTTTCGCTTTGTCTTTATCTCCATATTCCTCATCATCTTCATTTTATTTTTCTTCTTCTCTCTCTACCTTTCCCTCTCTCTCTCTCTCTCTCTCTGCAGGATCTACACCTGCCCCAGATAACAGCTGTTAAATTATGTCATGCCACCTGGTATCCCGTCGAGTATGTATTTCATAACAAATTCCTAGTGAGTGGACTGTCATTGGCAACAATCTAAACAATAAAGGAAGAATCAGCGTTACAACTGCACTACCATTGTTGTCAAATCTGGTTCCACTTAATAAAAGTAATGGTACTAGTAATGCTTTAATAGTATACCTACGCTACGCTACGCTACTACTACTACTATTGCTAGTACTACTACTACTGTTACTACTTCTACTACTACTACTACTAGTACTAGTACTACTGCTACTGATACTACTTCTACTAGCACTATTACTACTACTACTATAAATAATAATAATAATATTACTACTACTTCTACTACTACTACTACTACCACAACTACTGCTTTAACTACTCTAATTACATCTAGTCTACAGCTGTCACCTCTACTACTATCAGAAAAGGTATGACTGAGAATGAATATCTACAAGAGATATATTTAACCGGTTTCGAATATATCTCAGAAATACATGTATTTCTGACTAAGCTATTTTCGAAACCGGTTAAACACATCTCATGTACTGTGACGATATTCATTCTCAGTCATACCTTCTCTGCATTTGTCAACATGAATACGGTTCACTATTACCAGAACTTTTTAAATAGATAATGTGGCCTCCAGTATAACTATACCTAGAACTGCTTTAGATTTATTCATTTATGAATACTAATATACGTAATACAAGTAAAAATATCTATGATTCTTCTACATACAAAGGCGATACAATCGAGAATAAGATAAATATGAAAGGGAATGGCGTGAGAGTAAGTGAGTGAGTGAGATAGATAGATAGATAGATAAATAGAGAGAGAGAGAGAAAGAGAAAGAGAAAGAGAGAGAGAGAGATAGAGAGAGAGAAGCAGAGAGAGAGAGAGAAAGAGATAGATAGATAGAGAGAGAGAGAAAGTGAGAGAGAGAGAGAAAGAGATAGATAGAGAGAGAGAGAGAAAGAGAAAGAGATAGATAGATAGATAGATAGATAGATAGATAGAGAGAGAGAAAGAAAGAGAAAGAGAGAGAGAAAGAGAAAGAGAGAGAGAAAGAGAAAGAGAGAGAAAGAAAGAGAGAGGGAGAGAGAGAGAGAGAGAGAGAGAGAGAGAGAGAGAGAGAGAGAGAGAGAGAGAGAGAGAGAGAGAGAGAGAGAGAGAGAGAGAGAGAGAACGACAAAAACAGACAGACCGAGAAACAAGAAAGACCAAATATCAAAGAAAAGAGAGAAAAAAAAAAAAAAATCAAGACTAATCACAGACACACCCAAACAAAAGCCCAAACCGCCGCCAGCTCTTCCCTCCAGTACTCACCGCTGCTTGAGTTTGTGTCGGTGGGAATGGAGCCTCACCCCGGCCGTGTTCTCCATCCCGCCCATAATGTTGTTGATCGCTCCTTCGGATACCACCATCTTGGCCTGCAATATAAAGGAAGGACAAGTCAGTGAGGTAATTGTAGGTCGTTTGGGTGACTTAGTTTTATATTTATGTGTGTGGGTGTGTATTTAGAGACGCGTGTACGGTATACGTTTGTTTGTTTTTGTTTTTTTCCAAATACATGCATATATGGACAGATAGACAGACAAGCAGGTACATAGATAGATAGATAGATATATAGATAGATAGATACGCGGACACACACACACACACAAACCAGAAATAATAACACTGATAAACACAATAAGAATAGCAATGATAATGATACACAAACAATAATAAGATAATGTACCAATTATCTCGCATGCAAATCTCAAAAGCTAATTACATGTCCATTTCCCCAACGATGTTCTCATCAATAATTAAAACCTCAACTCAGGCAAAATGTTAAACGTTTTGCTTTATGTGCTCGCCAAATATCAGCAAACTTACTAAAAGCAGAAGTAATTTTCAATTTCAGCGATTAAAGCAGACATAAAAATTATGTCAAAAAGTAAATAAACTTCGAGTCTGTCGGCAACACCTCCTGCCCGCCGCCACAGTTGCCAAGTGATGTATTTCCACCAAAAAGCGTGCATGCAGTCGGGACAATGTCTGGTTTTCCGAAGCTGAACTGTCTCGTTTTTCACGCCTTCCCCCTCCTCCCCCCTTCCTCCTACTCCTGCTCTTCCTTTATACCCTTCACCCCCTCCTCTTCTCCCCTTATTTGCTTCCCCTTTCCATTATCCTATTCCTCCTCCTTCTTCCTCCCTTTCCTCCTCCTTCTTCACTCCATACTCTTCCCTATTCCCTCTTTCTCTTCTCCTTATTTCCCTTCCCCAATTCCTCATCTTCCCTTCTTCCCCCTTTTCATATCCACCTTTCCCCACAAAAGCAAAAAATTCCTCCTCCTCCCCCCGCCCCCCCCCCTTTCTCTCTCTCTTTTTCAAGCAAAGTTCTGGAAAGTCTTGGTCTCTTGGAAAGGTAATACATCTTATCTTTCCTTTCTTCTCTTTGGGGAGAAATAATGAGATTATATAGATGAGAGGAATTCGCAGTAAATAAACAGAGATAAAATAATTAATAAATAAACAGACAGATCATAAAAAAAAAATCTACTTCAAAGAGCTTACCAATGACACACTTAAAACATTAATATAACAACAACAACAGCAATAATAATGATGGTGGTGGTGGAGGTGATGATAATGATGATACCCTTAACAGTAAAGATAATAATGATACTACTACTACTAATAAAAAAAAAACATAAAATAATATATTGATAAGATAACAATGGTGATAATAAGGATGATGATGATGGCAACAGCAACATCGATAAAACAACAACAATAACAACAACGACTGGTGAGTCTTCAAGAGGGCTTTTACTCGATGTTTTTGCTTTGCTCTTGTTGCTGTTATTGTTCACGTATCGGAATGAAAGCGACACGCATTCATTCATTAATTGCCTTTCCCGAGATGTCTACGGCCGTGCAACATACAGGGTGCATGTGCTTCTATTTTCATGGTCTGCGAGTCTTTGGGTAAAAAATAACACTAATTACAAAAGGCATGAACCTGCACACACACATGCACGCACATACACATACACATACACACACACACACACACACACACACACACACACACACACACACACACACACACACACACACACACACACACACACACACACACACAAAAAAAAAAAAAAAAAAAAAAAAAAAAAAAAAAAAAAAAAAAAAAAAAAAAAAATGAAGCAAAGACGAGCAGGAGGACGTATACCACTATGCCATAGAAAAATTATCTTTCTTCTACTAGTTAATGCCAAGGAATATAGGCCATGTAATGGTTATCATAATGCGGCTCTATAGGTGCGCATGAGGAAGAAGATATAGATTGGGGGAAGAAGGAGAGGAAAGGAGAATGAAATAAGGGAAGATGAAGAAGGGGGAATTGCATGAGGAGGAAGGAAGAGAATGGGGGAAGAGGAAGAGGAAGAGGAAAGGAGGATGAAATAAAGAAGAGGAAGAGGTGGGAAGGGAATAAGGAAAATGTGGAGGAGGAGGAAGAGGAGGAGGAGGAGGAGGAGGAGGAGGAGGAGCAGCAAGGGGACAGACAAGGGGAAAATCGTGTAAAAGGTGATAAACAAAGTCAACAACAATAACAATAATAACAACAATAACAGCCTTAATATACCATACAAATCATTAATATTATTAACGTTATTGTTTTTATTGTTTTTCTTCGCCTTCTTATTACCATCATCTGTCATTACTATTATTATTATTTTTATCATTACAATTATTATCACCACCATCATCGTCATTATTGTTATTATGACAATAACATGGGGTGAAGCTAGTAATACCAATCACATACATTCCCCACCTAAAATAACACGCCAAGCATCAACAACACAATTTCGATAGCAACAAAACAATGAAATTTCAACAGAAAAACAAATACAAAAAAGAAGGAAAAAATCAGTATTGCCAATGTCACAATCAAGCCACCCCTTCACAAAAAACTCGATAGTAACATCAACCGTAGCCATAAATCGCGGATGCCACAGATAGCAACACTTAGGCTGCATCTCTCCTATATTTCTCTCTTTTGCTGTTTTTTTTCTCATTCTTTTCTTTATATTTTTTAATTGCTTTGTTAATTTTTCTTATTTATCTCTTCTCTTCTGTCTCTCTATCTCTCTCACAATCAAACTCTGTTTATCTGTCTGATAGTCAGTCAGTCTGTCTGTTTGTCCAATTTCTTTCCCTTTCTCTGGTTCTGACTCTCTCTGTGTCTGTTTCTGTCCTTTTATCTTCCCTCTGATCCTTTTTTTTAATTACCCTTCCATCCTTTCTCTCTCGTTTTCCTTTTCACTCTTATGTTCTTCCCCCCGCCTCTCTTTTTTCCTTCTTTACCACTCTTCTCTGCTTTTACCCCTCTTTCTCTCTCATCTTCTCTCTCTTTCAGTCTCTTTTATCCCTCTTCTCCTTTCGTTGGTTCTCTGTTTCTTCTTCTCCCACTCTTTCTCTTGTTCTCTTCTTCACCTGCCCCCTCTCCCCTTCCCTCCCTCCTCTCCCTCTCCCCTCTTACGCTCCCTTAACTTCTCCCTCTCCCTCTCCCTCTCTTTCCTCTCACTCTCCCTCTTCCACTCTTTCTACGATTCCCCAACATCCTCGTCCTCCTCTTTCTTTCCCTCTCTTAAGCCAAGCGAGCGAGCGAGAAGGGAACACTCAGAACCACCAGACAGACTTACTTTTCGGGCGAGGAACGTGCATGCAGAAAGCACACTGGGGGGAGGGGGGAGGGGGCGGCAGTGCAAGCAAGCAAGCAAGCAAGCAGGCAGATCGAGTTTGTCTGGTAAAAGGCTTACCTATGTTAGTGGAGGAGAAGGTGAAGGAGTGGAGGGGGTGGGGGCTGGGAAATTAGTGGAGCTGGAGGGGGGGGGGGGGGAGGTGGAGATCTAAAGTTGGTGGGGGTGGGGGTGGGGGAAGCTGAGGTAAAGGTGGAGATGGAGAAGGGAGAGGACACAGAAGAAGAAGAAGAGGAAGAAGAAGAAGAAGAGGAAAAGTAAGAGATGTACAAGACGAAAAAAGAGGCCACAGAAGAAGAAGAAGAAGAAGAAGAAGAAGAAGAAGAGGAAAAGTAAGAGATGTACAAGACGAAAAAAGAGGACGAAATGGAAGAGAAGGAGAAGAATACAGAAGAACTGGACATGTATATGAAATCGATTTTAATGATGGAGATAATGATGATAGTTGATGATGATGAAGTTCACACTTTCAAAGAGAAGGGAGAAGCATGGGAGGTATTGCAACATGGGTAATAGGCGGCATAAACAAACAGGAGTGCAGTATTTATATATGAGACTGTCTTGTTTGAATGACAAAGCACATAACATATATATGCATATTCATTACTATTGTTGTTGTTTTTCGGTAAATATTTATTTTCGTCCTCTTACAGGCTTCATCTCTCTTTTTTTTTCTCTCTCTCCCTCTCCCTCTCTCTCTCTCTCTCCCTCTCTCTCTCCCTCTCCCTCTCTCTCTCCCTCTCTCTCTCCCTCCCCCTCTCTCTCTCCCTCCCCCTCTCTCTCTCCCTCCCCCTCTCTCTCTCCCTCCCCCTCTCTCTCTCCCTCCCCCTCTCTCTCTCCCTCCCCCTCTCTCTCTCCCTCTCCCTCTCCCCCTCTCCCTCTCTCTCTTATATAATGAATAATAATAATAATAACAAGCAAAAATACTCTAAGTAGTAACACAATAAAATAGAACATATCAAGGTTATTCCATTTGGGAACATATGATTATCAACTTCCGTAAAATAAGACAATTAAGAAGAGAAATGAACAAAATACAATAAAGAATAAAGAAAAAAAATATAAGGAAGACAAAGAGACGCAAAGGAAGAAGGAACATCATAAAATTCCGGATAAGCAGGACGCAGGTGGAGCAAAATCCGCCGACCTGTTGCCAAATCCACCAGACCGTCACGTGCGATTATTATTTTCTACAATGAGGGAGAGGGAGAGAGAGAGGGAGAGGGAGAGAGAGAGAGAAAGAGAGAGAGAGAGAGAGAGGGAGAGAGGGAGAGGGGGAGAGGAGGAGAGGGGGAGGATGAGAGAGAGAGAGTGAGAGAGAGAGAGAGAGAGAGAGAGAGAGAGAGAGAGAGAGAGAGAGAGAGAGAGAGAGAGAGAGAGAGAGAGAGAGAGAGAGAGAGAGAGAGAGAGAGAGAGAGGGGGGGGGGGGGGAGCAAGAGATAATATGTGTGTGTATGTGTATGTGTGTGTGTGTGTGTGTGTGTGTGTGTGTGTGTGTGTGTGTGTGTGTGTGTGTGTGTGTGTGTGTGTGCCTCTTAGGCCATCTGTCCAAGAAGAATGTAACTGAATCGGACATTTTAGTTTTCCCTCATAGATTCTGAAAATGCCAACATTGTGAAAATGTGGCAGAATGAGAGAAAGAGAGAGAGAGAGAGAGAGAGAGAGAGAGAGAGAGAGAGA